CAGAGACAAAATCAGGAAACCCCTTCTACTACCCGGTGAGGACAACCCAAGGATCAGAGATTGATACTATTTCTTATTGCTTCATTTGTTGAGAGTGTGCTCGCCATAACATTACAAATACTGTTGTAATGCATTAAGTATCTATAAAACATGTAGAAAAGAAACAGGTTCCAACAACATCTTCTGCAATTACGAACCTAAAAAATGCTGTTTACATTTGGTTTTGCACTGGTTAGACCAAGGCTGGAAAAGAAGTGATAGATTTCCTGTGCTTATACAGCTTGCAAAGCGTCAGACAAGAACCCCACAGGGGTTTTCCTGGAAAAGCAGGTTTAGTTCCCAGTAAGGCTGACTCAGCCTCTCATTTCTCTGTAATAAATCAGCTATCTTCAGCACAGTGGGGGCAAGTGCCAGAAGCCACTTTTGGAGGCCCCGTACAAGGTTGAACAGATCCTGTCGTTCTGTTTGACTTTGCTGCATAATTTAGCTGCAGAGAGTTCATGAGTAGACTGTCTTCTAATACTATTTATTTATATTCAAGAGCAGTGGGAGTACAGAACTATCAACTCACGAGAAACAACATTGGAGAGGCCAGAGAAAACAAGTCAGAAAGCAACATTTGAAGGATTTCCTGACAAACTCCAGAAGAACAACAGTTTTTTGTAACTTTTCTGGCTTCTAAGGTAGATGGACTTCCAGACAGTAAAGGCAAAGATCTGGGTCTGGAGTACCTGTCCACATCTGTCTACCAAAGTTGAGCCAAAAGGTTCGGTTCGGTGTTAAATATATCTTTGAGGAAGGACAGAACAGCTGTTCTGGCCTGAACTTTATCCCTGCTCCAAATGACTGGAACTTCTGACATTGCCTAGATAAAAGGGTTCACACCAGAAAGGTTTGTGGTCCTCTGGGCATTTTATACTTCCTTGCGAATGAGAACTGAGGAATGCCTAGGGAGAAATAAGTTGATGCTTGTGGGTCAGACACATGAAAAGCCACAGCCAGCTCCAGATATTTAACCAGCCCTGAATCAAGATGACGAACTAAAAGCCAGTGCAGCTTATATATTAATAAAAAGGGAAGGACTTGGAAGGTATTCAGACAGCCTGTGTATTCCCTAGCAGACAGGTTAAAGGGGATGCTGAAGGGATGTTCCTGTCCTGAGCCAGCTCTGCTGGTAGAAGGAGTTAATACTTTCAGTGTTTCTCCAATTACTTGTCATTGCCTCTGTCTCAGGAGGTAACAGCTTCTCTCCCTCTGCCAGCAGAGCTACTTTTGTGAGCATTGATCCACTGTAGTTATCAATGAGCTGAACTGGTGTGAACAGCATAACGAATTAGCTTTCTCCTTCTTGAGAGGTGGCACCTTCCAGTGTGAGAGATACCAAGCAGCTGTGGAGGGCAGCTGGGAGTACTCTGGCAGGCAGAGCTACTGTCTCTTGCCAGGTGTGCAGCAAGATGAGCTACATCTTTGTCAGGAAAGGTGGAAGAAAAGGCAATTAAAAGTTGTCACAAATTCCTCAGCCTTACAGTGCCCAGAGGCACACCACACAAGTTAGGCAGGTGATCTCAGAGCACGTGAGAGGACATGTCTTGTGGCAGAGAGGGAATGTAAAATGTGGGATGATCACCACCTCTGGAATTAAAAAGGGAGATATAGGACTGAAAGATCTGGAGGAAATGAGACAGCCTATATTTTCTGTAAAGAGGTATTATGAGACATGATGGATGTGTTTACGAGTAAGTGTTGGTGAAGGAGACAGAAGATGCCAAACAGCTTCAGGCAAAGAAGGGAGAGAAAGGACGGGAAATAGCGTGGAAGGAAGGGTTCCATATTGACTGGGCATGATCAAAGACTAGGCAGGGAGTAGATGAGAAAGATCTTCCCCAGCAGGAAGAGAAGCAACCTCTGAATGTAGCAGCAGCAGCAGCTGAAAGACGCAGGCACATTAGCACCTCCTAATGTAGGCAAGAACGTAGCTGCAGAGACTGTCAAAATTCATAGCCAAATCCTCATTAAATTCTTCTGTTAAAACAAAGAAAGAATTTTCCTGATTTCTCTGTGCCTAAAAGACATAGTGTGCATAGTTTGGATACGACCAAATCACACTAAAAGGAGCTGACTGCATTGCATTACTCTGATACCTGAGGTACTTAAGTCACGTAGCTCATTTCTAAAGAGCTGATCAGCTTCTCTTAGCAGCATTTATTTCACATTTTAAAAGATAAGTGAAAAGACACTTGGGACAGATATTTGGGACAGGCACTTGAGACACACTTTTTTCACAGTACAACACTTCACACACATATGGGAATACGTACATGTGTGCACAACATATATCCTAAACCAGAAAATATTCTTTTTTCCCTGTGAAATGTCAAGTAGCTTTGCCAATGACATCCATTCCTGGAAGTAGTAAGGGAGTATTTTTCTCTTCCATGGAGACACAAACAATTCTTGCCATTCTTGACTGTGAAAGAAATGCCTCCTTTTCTTGTCACTCCTCTCTGGCAATTTTTTCTTTCTTATGTGGATTGCAATTGTTATCAAAGCAAATTGCTAGAGTTAATTATAATGGTATTACCAACAGTGAACAGGACTTAAAGTATTTGATTATGACTCAGAAAAATAGGTTTAATTCCTGGTTTCCATTGAAAATTTCCATCTGGTGAGGCAAATCATTAATTCAGCAGGTTTTTGAAGACAGACTATTTCTGTAAGACTGAGCAGCAACTCTAATGTAATTGCTTACAGTATCTTTACTTCCTCCGTTAATGTCACCTGTGCAGCTAAACACTATTTATCTAGTTCATTAAATGCCTCCAAAATTGACTGATTTGAGTAGGAAGCGGCACAACACCTATTCATCTCTTACTTCCTACCACAGATCTGTGCTACAAGTAATGATAATGTAACCTATACTGAATGCCTTAAAAAAAAAATCAGAATACAGAGCAGGAACTTGTCTAAAAAGCATATTAACATGATAGGAGCTAGCAGACACAATTTGTGCTATGGGAAACACTAAGGAACAGCCACATGTTTAAAAAAAACCCCACACCTGGTTTTTTCCCCATTAAAAATAAACAAACAAACAAACAAAACACAAAAAAAGTAGAGTACACATTTTTATTACACATTTACAAGATGTGAGGCACAAGAAAACCTGCAACATTTTTATTACACTCAGAGGCAAGCTGTCATTGTTTTAGCATAAATATTGCTCAGCAATTTTGTGAGCAAATGTGTGAGGAGCGAGTGAAGAAAACTAAAGCAGAGCACAACCATTTCTGGATGTAGCATTGCTTACACCAACAGGGCTGAGTAGCAGAAGCAGGCATCTTGACAACAGCAGCAACAAGGATAAGGGGACAGACACCCACACAAAACAGGCAGCAGCAAAGGGGAGTCACAGTCAAGAGCTTTCATGAACATTTACTGAAGACCTATGGATAAAAAAACAAAATAAGAGTTGTCTGCAACAGAAATCAGATTTAATGAATCACTTGATGAATACAGAATATAAAAGAAACACTTTCCTTCATGTAGTTTGTAACATGGGGCCCATAAAGGACTTGCATTGCCTACCTAAACTAGAGTGAGCAGGAACTGTTACTCAGTTTCCTCCCCTCTTATTGCAAATACACTCCCACACTCAGATAGTTCAGTGCAGAGCTGATGTGTTTCCAGCTTCCTAAGTGATGCTACACCGGCACTCATTTAGTAATATCTAACCAAAACATGTCCTGCCACCTTCCTCTTGGGGGAATCGGTGCTGTCCTGCTGGATGATGACCCATCCTCTGTTATAATACACCTACATCCTTTCTAGTCTAGGCTATGGCAAGGAAATAGGTCTATGCTTTGAAGTCATAATCCTGTAGGAAGTTATGAACAGTCAAGAGTACTGCAGGACATGGAGCTGTGCACACCCAGTGATCACAATACATTTGATTTTACTCTTCCTGTCATTCTCTTAGAGAAAACCAATCCTTGTTAAAGACCTTAGGATTTCTTCTCAAGATCCTTGGTGGTTCAGCATATCTGAAGGGATAAGAAAGGAAACCGTTGACCGCAGCTTCTCATTGTGCCTTCACAGACACAATAACATTTTCTGCCATAAGAATCAAACTCAGTGGTGCTGGTGACAGTACTTTCTCAGGGATCTGGTTATCCCCATAAAAAAAAAAATTCCCATAGGAGCTAAAGACCATCCCAGTCCCCACCATTTACTGACCTCAACTTTCCTTCTCTGGCAGAAATTACTAGAATCATGAATTTAAAAACAAAACCAAGGGAAAGCCTTCGAACTGTTATTCAAAACTCTGTGTGGCACACAGTGAACACAGTGCCGCTCAGAGGGAGAGAGGATAAAGCCAGACATCACAGAAGTCAGTCACACCACTTAACATTCAGTCAAAAACCAAGTGGATGTGGTATGGGAGGGAAGGCAAGCAAACTGGTAAACTGGCAGCTGAAACTCTTGCTTTTAAAGTTTGCCTATTTTCTGCCATGGTTCTGCAGTAGAACCCAACAGTCTGATTCTCAAAAGACGATGAATCTCTGCTCCTCACAATGCATTGTAATGCTGATGACCAAAGGAGAGGTCAGTTCCTTGCCCAGCTCCCATCTGCAAAGGATCCTCTACAGCCTGAGTATCTTGTAGAGCAGACTGCACTACACCAGTGCGCTTCGAATCCAAGTGCACTACATGCCTTCAAGGCAAGGGGAATTTGTCACCGAGCAGAAATACCCTAAAACCAGGATATTCTTATCACAGGGCTGATACACTTGGTCTGCATATTTAATCTCTCACTGATACCATTTGAGTAATGCCCTCCCCCCAGCACAATTTACCCCAAGGACTTTCATGACCTAATGAAACCACGAGAATTTTGCCACTGGCTTGAATACGTAGGGAGGAAGCAGGCTGGTTTTTCTTCTTACTAGCAGAAACTTTCTTACTAACAGAAACAAATAATAAAATAAAATCACCAACATATTTCAAACTGAGTGCAAAGTGTAAGAAAACAAAAAGGAAAAAATCCTACCCTCACATTGTGCTTTGAGTTTTAACGTCACCGTGGCCTTTGTGTTGTGCATTTCATTCACCACTGCGCATGTGAAATTTACCTGCAGATCCTCCTTTTTTATTTCAGTAATATGCAAAGTGGTCTCTCTGTAATATTCTTGCTCACGCCCTTCAAAGCTAATAGAGAGAGAAAGAGCTGGCACTGTTGGCTTTAATGGCTAGGCACAGTTTGCATAGAAGAAAGATTATTCTGTGTTATATGTACTTACGAATGAGTTTTTTCATGAAATCTTGAAAAACCTAAGGATTTCACTGGGATGTTATCCACATCCCATGTGACAACAGCCATCGGCTGTTTCTTAATCCCCAGGAGGGCCTGACATTTCAGAGACAAAGCAGCACCTAATCAAGATACAGAGAGAGGTAAACATTCCTTGACAAAAAACAAGTATAATTTTATTTTCCTCATAGCATCTTTTTCTACAAATCTTCATACCACCTGTGAATTTTGTCCTAACAATTTTGACATATTTTTCTGCTGAGAAAATGATGCATAGAAGAGACTTGAAGTAGTAAAAGGAGATTTTAACAGATGATCTAATACAACACGAATGATTACAAAAGGAAATATTTATATTTGTTATGATGAAGGCAATGTAGACTTTACTCGTGATGCTTAACCCACATAATCAACTGTTGAGAAACACGGAAAGTAACTGCTGGTTTACACATAAATATACATGGAAATAACGTAATTTTATTTCAGTATATATTATTTTGTGTAAGTCTTGTGCGCAGACTCTTACCTTGGATTTCATTCAAGCTGGACAGAAGTAAAGTAAACCAGTCCAAGCAAAACTAAACAGGAAATTACTTATTAAGTATTTGTCATTAGGAAATATTTATTCCAAAGTAAGAGTCACAGTTGCACTGAAAGAAGGTATAATTAAAACACTTTAAATTATTTTCATGTAAATCTGCATCTAAGCAGGGCTTAGATAAGATTAAAAAATCTTACGACTTACATCCTGAAGTGGTATTAGGGAGCATGAAGAAATCCCTTCAGTTTTGCAAATAGGAGACAATAGATCCAGTACAGCAAACGGGTTTTAAACGTAAAGCACATTTGCTCCTTGCAAGCAGTGCCAGATTACTTATTGTCCCAGAGGGGTGGGCAGAGCCCACAGAGCACTAGAGACTGACCATCATGTTACACAAAGGTGGTCCTGGAGCACAGATCATCTAATTCTGAGTGACAAAGCAACTGGGGGAAAGAGGAGTATGTGGCACCTCAGGCAAGGCCCTGGGCCCCTGCAGTACCTGCCACCACAGCAGACTTGCTGTAGGACAGAAACAGTGGAGTAGTAATTGTGATCCCTTCTCCCAGTGGCCTGGATTCATCCCACCTGCCCTGGGAGACAGGTATCCTGGGCTACCTATTTATGTTTCAGAAGGGCTCAGTTGCTTTCTGGAGACGTCCACCTTTCTCCATTCCATTGACTGTACAAAAACCCTAGAAGGCTCGCAATCCTACCACAAGCACCTTGCTCTGATGCTGCAAGTTACACAGGGTAAATCTGAATCACTGAGAACATCGATTGTCTTAAATGAAAGGGAGCCAGGGAGCAAGCTCTGCATCGTGGGCTCTCCAACCTGCTATTTCTAAGTTCACTCCTTGGTCCTGTCTTTCAGACTTCTCAGTATCTTCTAACCAGACAGGTCTGCTCAACGCTAGCCAGTATGAACATGAACCAGGTAGTGCTCCACTGCCTCGGGGCAGTGACCAGTCCCTTGCTCTCCTTCATTCATCAACAGAGACACAGCCACAGTCTCCAGACCAGAACCACAAGTAACAAGGAGTATCTCTAGTTGCAAGAATACTCCATCCTTCTCTCTTAGCAGTACCATCAAGCAGTTTCAAGGGATTTAGCGAAAGCCCTCTTTGAAGGGGATGGAAGCTGTCATGCCTGCAGCTGAGATGTAATAATTGACTGTGTGAGTAATCCTAATCTATCCCAGTAAGGGTAGAATGGGTTAATTAAATCCCCTTAAATTGCTGCTTAATACCTAAATAACCCATCAGTTATATCTAACTTCACATCACTGTGCCTGGGGTGAATTAAATCTGGTAAACATTATGGTGCAAAAATGTAATGAAAAATTCAATCATTAAATCTTCTGGAAGATCCCCATGTTCATTAGGCCATCACAAAATGTTAATTTAAAAACAATTTAAAGTCCGTACTTACCGAGCTCCACTTCTATTACATCTTTATCTTTTGGAAATAGAATTTGAGGAGGTAGAGGTGAGTGTTTTGCTTTAGAAATTCAGAAGGGAAAGAAAGCACATATTAGAAAGTTGTGAAAAAGCATTTTGTAAGATAATGATTATAATCTGTACACCTAATATTTTAAGAACCCAAAGCAGAACTGCCAACTGACACTACAACAGTGTTTCACATGTCTGTTGGGATCATCTGATTTCATTCCTATGACTAAATATTCCTGGGGAGTCTGCAAGTGTTAACAGTTTAAGTATTTTCTCCCCATTTATTTAATTTTTACCTTTGTACATAAAAAGCAAGGAAAATTTTTAGTTTCTCAAGTACTGTTTTAGCTGCTGAGTAGAAAAAAAAAGCAAATGCAGTTACAGTTTTGTGTGTTTTCACAGTTGCTTATTTTGTTTTTAAAAAGAGATAAAGAAATTCCTTCAGGCATTTGAGAAATTACTCATATCCGTAATATAGTGAATATGTACTTTCATGCAGTATCTGAACTGGGGACCCTCTAGCCCACAGCTGCCTGCCTGTGTTCCCTTCTGTTTCCCCCATCTCTGCAGCCTGACAGCCAAGCATGTCTGGTTCCCAGGCCTCTCTCACCGCTGTCTGTGCACAACTGCTTCCCGTTACGCCAGTCTGCCGTGACATTGAGCATCCCTTATCATTACCTTTTAGAAGGAATACTACTTTTCCTTTGACGTATATATTTTCCGTCCCCACTAATAATTGTTATGGACAGGTCCAAACTGCATCCAGCTGTTTTACTTGAATTAGGTATTCAGATCTTTAAGATTTTTTCTTTTGATGCATTCTTCTTCTTTTCTTGCCCTATATACTGTCTCCTATTTCCCACTCCAAACACATTGCTTGATATCCTTTCCCTTATCAATCTTTTCCATCTCAAGGCACCTCTGTGCCTATAACCACATTTCCCTAAAAAATTTGCAGAAACTCATTTAAACCCCTGCTTCCCAGGCTGCCAGAAAAGCAAATCTCTTTACCCCTCCTAACTGTTTCTAATTTGCATTAGCTGGATCTGGTAAAAAAGAAGTCAGGAGAAAGTCAGTGACTTCCTAGATAGCCGACTATGCTAAGTTCTTAGCTGCCAGCATTCAGAGGCAGAAGGTCCTCTGGGTCAGTGTGGATCCGAAGGCAACAGGAATGTACATCATAACCCAGGCACAACAATATTCCTGACCAGTTAGAGAAGTTTTGATGAAAGTACATTCAAGCAAAAATCAAGTGCTAGGCAGGGAATTGTCATGTAGACCAACAGGGTATTACATGGAAGAGGGGAGAGGAAAGGCACGACCCCTCCTAAGCTACTCTACAAGGTCTCAGCTCAAATCTGTCTTCTCTCCAGCTCAGAATAATCAGAACAAACTCTACTACTGAGATCTGGGCACAGCAGCAAAAACTGGAATCAAGGCTCCTACACTCCAAATCTGCATTCTGCCCACAAAGCTGGGTGCCTCCCCACAGCAAAAAGATCTGATGTCAGTCTGCAAATTATCATTATCTATTTTTGAAAAAAAAAAACCAAAACCAAACCAAAAAAACAAAAAACCCCAAACCCAAGGCTCCCCGTCCCCTGTCCCCCGTCCCCAAACCTCCAACAACCCTTCTATTTTTCTAGTGATCTGATCACAGAACTGAAGACACGTTTTGAAGTCTTGCAAGTTGATACAATCTGGAAGCACTGACTGCTGCATGCTCGTCACCTGACCTCCATCCAAATACAAAGCCTCCCTGTGAAGAATGCATCCTAGAGGCACCCTAAAGTCCACACCTCTCAGCCATGTTTGCTGAGTTCAAAATAACAAAGACACAACAATCACTGAGCTCCACTCATTTTCTGTCTATATATGTGTATCACTCACTTTATCTCATTCAAGATAAACGTAAAAGTTTTTTCAGCCCTATTATCAAATAAATGCTAGATCATCAAGATGGACCAGAATGTATTGAGTTGTAGGCCATCAACATATCAGTGATCCAATGACCACCAGATGATCCTCACTAGCTACAAATTCTTCTCCCCTCGAACAAATAGAAAGCAAAGCTTTGTGGCATCCCACTGAGGACACCCTTCACTTCAGAAATAAGTGCTACCAGACAGCTCTACCAACCACAGTCTGTAACCAGAGTCGTCAGAGACTTTTAGGAAAAAGCTGAACATGACCAGGTCTGAATTTACACCCATCTTGCTCTGTTCAGATCCCCATCCACAAAATTCACCTAAAAAAGCTGATCTAAAGTTGCATTAAGAAGATAAAACAAACAACAGAAACTCTTTTCTTTAATGTACAAAAGGAGCTTACTTTGCTTTAAGTAGACATCAGTCTTTTTTATCTTAGCGAGCTACAAAATTACTGTCTTACCCTTACTTATGAAAATCCTTGTTGCTGATACATTAAACACATTTCTTTTATGAGTGTAGATAAACTGACAAGTATAATAACCATCATCCTCCTTTCTTGGGTTGTTAATAAAAATATATTTTTCTCCCTTGAAGTATCTCTCTCCCTGAAGAGGTTTGCAGTCCTGGAAAAGAAAACTTTATTTGGCTGCAAATAGTTTCTCGTGGTAACCTGGTCTACAGCTGGCACTATCAGGGTTTTATTTACCTTATACCACTGGATGATAGTAGCATTCTTATAATTGTCAACTGTAGGACAAACAATTTTTCCTCTTCCAGTATCATTTGGGTAACGAATCTGGCTTGGGAAACATACTCCTTGCTTGTATGGATGCACCTGCAAGCTCATGTTGAACGACTTTGTGCGATTATTTGAACTTTAAAAATGGAATAAAGGTATGTCAATGATAGTATTTTTGTATGGAAAATACTAAATATTTGTAACAAATGTGACTTTTGTTTTTTATAAACATATGGAGGATTATTGTTCAGCCACAGACTGATTTTTAATGATCTGTCATAAAAATAACAATTACAGAATGAAAAGTTACATGAATTGTTGCACACCGTGAAAAAATGGCATAATTTCTGCAGATAATAATTAAATGCTGTTATTAAAACATGGGGTTTTTTTTCCAGTCTTACACCTTTCACTTTTCAGTGTTGCACTTACAAGTGTATAACACAAGTGTAGTTTCCAGAATCCTCCCTAGAAGTTGGCAGAAACCAAAGAAATCGTTTTGAGGAAAATATTCGTGATCCCTCTTCTTCTGCAGGAATTATTTTGTTATTATCTGTGTGATACCAGGTGACTTTCATAGATGAACTCCATGGGGGACATTTTATAACTAAAGCCTCACCTTCCATTGCATCAACTGCAAATGAATAAAAGATAAAAATCTCAGATTAATTAAACCTTAGCCCTGCTGAGACAGAGGAGAACTTGGCATTACTACATCGGTAGGCCAGTCATGTGCCTCTAACTGCCCTCCTTGAGTTTTCAGAGGTTATATACAGCAAACTTATTCTCACTGGATTTTTTTCAAGAAAAATATTGTTTACCTTGAGTTATGGAGCCATTTGTTTGCAAAAATAGTAATTAATGTGTGGGACAGAAGGAAAAAAAAAGAAAAACCACCCTAGATTCAAACCAGAGATACACTAAAACATATGAGGTTTTAATTGAAAAACAGTGATTTCTTGAAATTAACTTCTTGTGTGAATCTTTGTTTGAAATCCCGGTTTCTTTCAAAACAGGAATTTAAACACAAAGAAAAGCATTGTCTTTGATGCTGTACTATGAAGTTAGCTTTCCTTACTTCAGTATAATTAATATTTACTTATAGAACAGAAAAGAGCTCTTGCTCTGCCTTTTTAATATAGAAAAAGGAAATAAAAGATTTCTTTCTTTTACTGAAGAAAAAAATAGTAGAAGGAGGAAGCCTGTAGATAAGATCATTAAAAAACAAAAAAGAGAAAAGCCAGAAGATCTTCTCTGCCAAGTTCACAAAAATGCAAAGAAAATGAAAGAAATGGAACAGACTGAAAGGAAGAATCTGATGGGAAGATTAAAAGATGCCAGAAAGGAATAAGAGACAAGAAGTATAGGAAGACAAACCACACACACTCACATGAAAGAAAAAAGAGGAAGGAGTTGGGAGCAAGGCACTAATTTTTACATTTTTTTTAACTGATTATTTTGAACCGAGTACTTTTGAATACTTAAACTGGTCCGGAGAAATTTGAATCAAGCAATTTTGATAGATATTTAAGTGCCCAGGCACCTGAATAGTGAACTGGCTGCTAAAAACAGAAACACTAATCTGAAAGTTAAATTGCATTTTGGAGACTAGAAAGATGAGAAAATAAGCAAGGATGGGGACTAGACAAAGATGGCGATTGGCAGAGGAGCTACAATAGATAAGGGAGCATGAAAATGAGAGTAGGGACCCAAATAGCTGACGGAAAGAGAGAATCTCTATCAAAAATGACACTTTGAGGGAGTATTGCCACCACCTGGCTCTAGGCACATAGGTGCACAAATCAGGTGATGAGTTTCTCTGCATGGTGAACACTTGGCTTCTGCTCCAGTTCTTTCTAACGAAGCAGTCCATCTCGACTGACATTATATGTCATCTTGCTTACTAATTCAGGCACCTAAATTAGCCACATCAGGTATGAGTACCCCCAACCCCATCATTTTAACAGCATTCCTACCCACGAGCCTTGCAAAGATAGTGGGATGTATTGGGGGTATCAGGAAAGGCAGCATTGCCCCATCGAAGCAGGAACACATTTGGAATACAGCTTTCTTCAGGGAAAAATAGAGGAGGAGAGGGAACACACAGAAAATGAGAGGTCTCATCTAAACTCAGTGATACCAGTGAAAGTTATCTTGGCAAATTCTTCAGCAGAATTTCGCCTCAATAAATCTAATTCATCTGAAACTCAGCATTCCTATTGTAAAACTGAGAATATGGGAAAATATTTAGAGATAATATCTTACAATATTTTTCAGACGAATAAGCAGCACAGCTGGAGACTAGAACTACTTGAGTGCTATATAATGCTGTGTCACTGGTAGAAACGATTGCAGGGCCAGCAGAGCTGAGCTGTCAGAAAGAGCTTACTGTTTTGAATAGCCCCATGTGCAAGGAAGTGTTGTTGTTACGTTGCACTTGTGTGTTAACACCCCCAAAACCAGAACATTAAAAAGCATTTTTAATGAGCAAAGGTCCCAG